TTAGGTTTTTTTTTTATTATTTCAGCCCGTGCCACACAAAAGATAGACACTGTGGCTGTGGGTGCCTTTGGGCAGAAATTGGGTACTTACAACTGGCAGTGATTGAGGGATAGACAGTGTGCGTGTGTGTGTGAGGGAGAGACAGAGAGAGAGAGAGAGAGAGAGAGGGAGAGAGAGAGGGAAAGGTGTCAGTGCCACTCAGTGCCCTGCAGCTGACTGCGGCTCCTCAGTAGACTCTGTCGTACTTCACCTGCTCCCTGAGACCCTAACTTGTGAGCTCTCTTGATAAAAAATCACGGGTTAGGCTCTTGGGACGCGGGCGGAGGGCACAATCGACTTCCTGCCGAATGTTCCCAGGGTGCAGTCGGAAAGAAGCAGCAACTGATTTACTGTTTAAAATGTGTACATACATGGGAGGGACGACGTAGAGAGAGGAAGACACGAAAAGGAAGTTGACGAGTACAATAAAGAGCAAATGTTTGGAGGATTGTAGCTCCTCCATCACATCATTTATAAAGTGTTAACTAAGCTGCAGCATTGATGAAACTGTATATGCAGGGCTGTGTGCATGTTGGTTATAGCCAGAATTTTTTGGTTTTCCAGAAATGAATCAAGAACACTTTTCCTGATCGCAGCAGTGTCACTGGCACAAAACCGAAAATACCCGTCGACGCTGCAACATTCTAATGTGTCTTCGTGACACTCAAGTAACACACGATCTGATTAGAAATGACAGAACACCAACCACCACACCCCAGACTCGTGTTGATTAACCTCTGTCACCGCCACAGCACAACATCACAGAGACCCAGCCAATATATCTGATCCACCATTACCAAGACAGTCGCTCTGAATGTGATCACCCCAGGTTCATTTAGACGCCATGGCAGCAGTCTGAGACTAATGCCACATCTGCCGCCTCTGTTTTCCGATTTTAATAACATCCCTTTTATAGTTTCGTTTCTAGCAGTTCACTAACTTAACTGCTTGCCAACAGCTAACTCATTTATTTACTCTTTATTTCTTTGTTAATCACACACATGAGTTGTAATTGCACTTATACTGCTTCATAAATTTGAGAAAGTGTAAAATATTTTACACATATATTTATTATAACAGAATATAACATCTGATTAAAAAAAAAACAAGTTCCAATGGTTTTACATGCTAATTTCTAAATATATGTATACCCCAGAAACAAAAGCCAAATTTTAGTTTATTACCACAATTACAGAGCAATTAATTTTTCATAGTAACTGGAATGCTTCAACTAATCTCATATGAATTATGTCTGAGCTAAATGAAAAAAATGCATTTAAACTGTCAGTGAATGACAGTGGACAGAAAGTGGTTAAAAAGTTGCTGACAGTGTTCAGATGAGAGAGCAGAGCAAAGATTTTACAGTTTGTTGAAGAAAAATCAATGAACACACACACACACACACACAAAAAAAAATGAAATCACTTCCAGAGGAATTTTGTTGCTTTCTTAATCTGATCATTTCTGTCTAAATTTGCCATTGTCATGAGATGTCACAACCAAATCGGTTAATGGTCTAAATCAATATTTAAAGTGGAGGCGCAGGACGAACTCAGACAGACACTGTGATTCAGCAGGACGGCGTGGTGAAAAGACATTTAATAGAGAATGAAAACATTGGACTGGTCTGTTAAAAACATGACAATAGAAGTGCAATTACAATAAATTAGCCCCTCTAAAAAAATGTTCTTTCCTTTTATGCTATTGAAAGGTATGAATTCATTCACCATTACAGCTTGACCTGGTTTTTAAACTTTCAGTTTCACCCAAGGCAGCGTGCTTTTCTGAAAACCTAATTTCTGCTAAATTACCCATATTAGGAATGCAGTTCAAAACAATTGATTTTCTCTCTAATACCCTCCTCTCCATCTTCCTCCCAGTCTCCAGTCTCCCTCTCTCCCTAATTATGTTTTTTTTTTTTTCTTCCCGTCTCCCCATTTGGTTTCATAGTGAACAATGCCGATGCCAACTAATCAGTCTGTGCCTATGCCACAGAGCCCCCAGCAACAGCTGAAGGAGTGCCATGCCCCATGAATACCAAACAGCCAGGCACAGTGCGACAAGTGCTGAACAGTCAGACGCAGCACAGCCAGAGCAGAGCTGGTGCCCACAAAACAGCCAGACAGTTTTATTAGGGTCTGTCTGACACGCAGCAAAGTCTGGCAGCACCCAAGCCCACTGATGAAATCCTCACCACTCCCCCAACAGTAACAAAGCGGCATGCTCACAGCAATCCGCCAAGGATCCAATAAATATCACCCCGTAAAAATCAGCTCCCGGCTAGTTTGTAACTTGACTGAATGGGGAATACAAACTTTGTTCAAAGTCAAACTAGTTCTCAATGAGCAACTGCTAAATTGATCTCTTTTGTGCCATCTAAACAGAACAGGGGGAAAAGAGAAAATCTCCTTCAGGGAAATGCTTTTTTTTTTTTTCTGTAAAAGCTGCTTTTTATATTGACTTGAAAAAAAAAGGCAGATTAATTGACTCCTGCATCTCTGACCTTTTGAATATGATGTTTATGAAACATGTTGTCACTTTCCCACTGAGCTGATAATTAAGATTTTCTGAGAAAATGCAGAATGAGAAACCTGATTCATTTTATTAATGTCAGTTGGCCATGAATTAGTGAAGTGTATGTAATATGAATATATAAGTGTGAGTTCATTTAAAGGAAGAGCACTGCTTCTGACTTACTCATTTTATCTTTCAATTCTGATATTATAATGCAATCAGAGTAAATGTCGTTTTCAAGGTCAAGTTACTTAACAGCAGGGTGCCATATTATCTTTTTTTTGTTTCTCAATTGAAGCATTTGTGTGCTGTGTTTACACATAAACATCACAGGCCCAATCACACCAGTTTTATTAAACTAAGAATTATCAGCAACAATTTAGACAGTGAGATGCCTAAAAACTGAATTAATGAAACCGATTTAAAAAAAAAAAAAAAAAAGCAGAAATCCAGCTTTTCCTTTATTTTGTGCACAAGTAACTCGTGCAGTGCTTCAGCAAAATGCCGAGCATATACACGGTGTAGTACTTGTGCTAAATAAACAGAATTCGGTCTGCGGTATGTTTCTATACTCAGCTGGTCTTCAAGTTCCTGCGGCAGAGATTGATTCAGACCTTGAATAGGTGTAGATAAACCAAAGGCTCCAGCTGATGGACCCGAGTGTGTGTGAGAGATTACACTCCATTGTTCAGAGGTGGTCATGTAACACACTGCGCCGCCACATCGCTCCCCGATAAAAGTAATAAGAGCAGATTAACATTTATCTGCCACTTTTGGATTTGGGCTGGAGCTGACATGGAAATCAGATGGATTCAGTGAATTAGTCGGCTTGTTTTTTTTTTTTTTGTTTTTTTTGCATTGATTGTCAGGTTGTGTTGTCTGCTGAAGCAGCTCAGTGTTCAGTGGATCTCTTATCACAGCGGGGTGTGTGTGTGGTGTTGTGTGGTTGTGTTGACGTGTGTGTGGGTGGGGTGGTGTGTGGGGGGGTATGTGGGGGGGTCAGGTGAGCCTGATAGTGGAGCAGCTTGGAATGGAGGGGGGCGGGGGGCGTCTGAGTTTCCAGACACTGCGGCAGGAGGCCAGACAGTCACCTGAACACACACACACTCACATGAAAGTGTGCCAATGACACTGCACACATGCAACCATGCAAGACACACATTTTATACAAGCCCCCCCACACACACACACACACACAGACACACGCCCCTTAAAGTCTGCACTAACGCTAAATCAATTTTGTTTTTAATTCAATCAAGGGTATAAATCGTGTTGCCTCTTGTAATGTAATTATCCCTGTGCATCGAAAGCGCAAAAGTTTCTCTATTATTCTCAGGGCGACGGGATGAGAGATAAACTCCATTAACTTTTTCAGATTACAGTAAGTGCTGTGGGAGGTGGGGGTGTCAGTTGAAAGGACAGTGGAGCTGTGCGGAGTCTGGAGGATTTTCACGGTGGGCCTGTGGGCACAGAGCAGGAGACTGGAAAGTGAGGCTGATGATTGAAAACCAAACAACAAAGCTCAAAGGGAGCAGATTGACGGCCTGGCAGGCCAGAGGTCTCAGCACAGCCAACTGGAATGCTCTCAGACCTGGTTTGTTGTGAGTGTGCGTGCGTGCGTGCCTGTGTTGTTGTGTGTGTGTGTGTGTGTGTGTGTGTGTGTGTGTGTGGTTGTGTACGTGTATGTGTGTTTATATTGTCTAAAGGTCCACAGTATTTGAGGGTGTATCCCCCCTCGGTCCTCCTGGCCCCGCTCCCTCCCCGGGTCCCGTGTTATCTCCCATTCTCTTTCTGATCTGCGATTCACTTCGGAGGCGTTGCCAGGGAAACCTGGTATCTGGCTAGCAGCTTGATGGAGTTATTGAACTGTAACTGGCTGGGATAATTATGCTCTGTCTTGCAGGTTGGCTATCCAGTGGCTGGGACTTGACTGTGACCTATAGCTGGTCGAGTATTGTCGCTACCAGCAAAAGCTTTTAACCCATTGGCCACCAGACAGTTTGACTGTTGTAACTTAAGCAGAGATGTCCAATCACAGTTCACACTTTCAGCCACTGTGTGACTCTTCCTTTTATACGCCGACGCTGCATTAGTGCCACAGTCAATTGTGCTGTAAAGATTCAAATGAGTTGACTTCTGGTTAAACTTCCCACACAAGACACACACATGAGCCTACACATACACACATGTTCAAGTAGCCTAGTCACACACTGGTTTGCTTTGTGTCCCTGCTGGAACTAGTAATGACCACAAATTCCTTGTGTGTCCACGAGTGAATCCACGCAGCTGTGGATTCCCTTGTGGACACACAAGGAAGTTGATGTTTCATAAATTCTGCAACATTTTGTTTCAAGTTTTCCTGAGGCAGTGAACATGCTCAACCTTTTCTCTGTTTTCTATTTTTCCACATTTATGCTAAATGGTTATCATTATCTCTTTTTGTCTAGGAGCCCTGGCAGTTGTCCGTGTTTCCCCCGCAGTCAGAGGTAAGACTAATCACAACCTGCATTTGCAATACAGTAACAAAATCATTTTCAATGTGAGCCATTTTGTTAGCAGACAAGAGAGGGAGATATTGTTTGGGTGTATGACTGCCTTGTTTTGCTTGTGCACTTGCACCAGACGAGTGAGTCAGTAAAAGTGTCAGACTGCCGTAACAGACGGCCTGCGCAAGATAATTAGCCCGGAGTCATTTGGAAGCGGCTCAGCTCTGCCCAGGTGCCCACTGTGCACAGAAAGAGACCAGATGACCTTTTACTCAGCTCCGTCCCACTGCAGTCACTTAAAACAGTGATGGATGTTTCCCTTAACACCCTGCTCCCTACCAGCCCTCGTTCTCCTTTTCCCCTCGCCCTCCCTCCCTCTCATCTCACCATTTTCCCCTCCCTTCCTCTTCTCTGCACCGCTCCAACACCACTCTCTTATTTGTCCCCTCTCCTCCTCTCCTTGTTTTTCTACGATGCTTTTTCAGCGCGATGAGGAGGAAGGAAGAGGAAGGAGAAAGGTGGAGGGGGTGGGGGGTTGAAGTGAAGTGGAGGAGGCGTTTCCTGTCAGTGCAGAGCAGACTGAGGCTACCCCACCCCCACCCCCCCCACGCACTCCCTCCCCGCAGCTCCTCATTAGTATGCAGTGGCTGTTGCTCAGGTGACATGGCCGCTGGATTCGGTCCCGACTGCAGGAACATCAGCAGCACAGCAGAGAGCAGGATAGCAGGTAAGGACAATGAGAACAGGAGGGAGGAGAACAGTGGAGAGATATGGAGACGGACGGGGGGGACGGGGGGCGTGGAACGGACGCAACACACACTTACACACTTAACACTGCTGTAATGCACGCACACACACACATGTTCAGGTTCAAGTCCAGCCTCCCTCCCAAAGCCGAACAGTTAAGGATAATACAAGTCTGTTGTATTTAATTACAATGACTACTACTACTATTTTTATCTGTGTTAATAAAATGTTCTGTATTTGTCTCCAAAATGCATTGACTTAATTTTTTCCCTGCGTTTTATGTCGTAATAGAAAATGTAATAATTGTAGATGTTACAGTTTCTACTTTTCATTATGTAAATAGTGATTTCAATAAATGTCTCTGTTGAGTATGTTCTGTGTGTTTGGTTATTTCAAAATATAATGTTTTATTCCATGTAAGCAAACAATGAAGGAATCCTGCAGTTTCCCCTCAAAACATTTTCATTGTTTCCACTTGTGAGGTTTTCATTCCCCTTGATATGTAGGATATTGGTTTTGTTGCCAAAGGCAACAAAGAGAGAGGTGTATTAGACAAATGCTCATACTCTCTGTAAGTGTGTGTGTTTGTGTGTTGGAGGAAAAGAGAATACAAGTAGAGGGAAAGAAAGGGAGTCTATGTGTAGGTGTGTTTTTGTTTGCTGTGTGTGTGTTAGAACTAGAGGCAGACTGTGTTTGTGTGCGTGTGTGTGTATGTGTTTGTGTGCTATGGGGGAGCAGTGCGGCCAGGCTGCAGATATCATCCATCTCCCTGTCACTGGCCCAGGGGCTGCTGGGAAAGTGGCAGACAGCTCCCCGGCTCTGACAACAGAGGCTGCATCCTAATTTTCCGACACAGGACGCCTGAAAAACCTGCGCTGCTCCTCCCTCGCCACCCAGTACGGAAAACCATTAACCCCGCGATCCGAGAACAAAGCACAGAGCTCAGTCCGGGCCACCACTGGCTGAGAGTCATATCAGCTCCCATCATCCACCAGCCACAACTCTGAGCAGCAACACTTTGCATGAACAGCACTTGATAAAACATTCATGACACCTCGCGGAGGAAAGCTGGACATATCGAGGAACTCCTCAAAATTAGATCATTTCTTAAGTCAGATCTAATTTAGAGGTCATATTCGGACTTGATGACATTGCAGTGATTTCATTTGTGAAGAATCTTTTCTTTTCTTTTTTTTAAATAAAAGTCCTCCTTGCAATAGCTGCAGTAAGTGGATTACATGCTGTCTGCTTAGCCATGACTAATTGTGTTATAAAGCTGTTGTCAGACGTTCTACAGCTTTTGTTATATACACAGGCGCGTTTGATTTCCCATCACTCAGAGTGTTTTTTTTTTCTGCCTCTGGTTCTAGGCATCACACAAACATTGGATTTATCCTGGAGTAAATTAGCACTCAATAAATTGTTGTGTAGCTGTTACAAAGTTCATACACAGACTTTTACAGTTGTGCTATAAACCAGAAATCGTGAACATTTTTGCTGATTTAAGTTGTTGAGGTTTTATAGTTTGACTAAAGCAAGGAAATTAAAAAACTTAAAGTCATCCTGTTCTCACATAGACATGAAATCAAAAATGCACAAATTTTCGAGTGTAATTAACTTGAATTGTTGACAAGTTTTCATGAGGGTTTATTACAGTATAACACAATATATAATAGTGGAGAAATATCTTAAATAAATCAATAAGGATACATGTGTGAAAAGTATTCCCAGTAGAGATAATATAATATATAATCAAATATATGTGTAATAGAAATATTCTCAATTTAGAACAGTATATTTGGTCTTAAATTACATGGAAATTATTTTACATTTTTAACAAATTTTTTTATCAATGAATCTGCTGATTTTTCTCTCCAAAAATACTTTTGTTCATAAGGTATCGGAAAACAGTAAAAACATTATAATGATAATAATAATAATAACAACAATAATTATAATAATAATGATAATAAGCTTTACATGGTTGTCTGGTGTCAGTCACAGTTACCAAAGACCAAGGTCCTGTCATCAAATGCTTGGTTTTGTCCAACCAACAGTCAAAAGGCCAAAGATTCATTTTATTAGACTACATTGTAAATAAATGATGACATTGGAGAAGGTGAAACCGGTCATTTTTGGCATTCTTTGATTGGAAAATGATTCATCAACGATCACAATAATTGCCTGTCAATTTTAGGTGTATCAACAAAACAATTAATTGACTAACTGTAACAGAAAAGCGTACAGACACACACCCTTTAAATTTAGTTGAATACATTTATGATGAATGAAGCTTTTCATATCAGTGTCAGCTCTTGAATCCTGCTCCCAAATTCAGCTTTACAAACATTCGTTCATTGTGAGGAAGGTGATTGTTCGAAATAGTCAGACCAAAGAATCGGACAATATAAGGAATCAAAAGATGAATTGATTTTCCTCTTACAAACAGCAATAGAGCTATTACGAACACAAAGGTCCATTTATGTTTTTCCACGTTTGGTTGGCGATAAATGCAGGTAGTGATGAAGCTGTGTGGCTCGTGCTGTTTTAACATACACAGGTAGCATCTTTTGAATAAAGCAGATTTGACCGTAACGATTGTCTGTTGTCATAAATAATGTTGATCTGCTTGAATCCAAGAGTCTAAATATAATGACAAGATGCATCACGATGGTGACAAACAATGTAACATTCGAAACAGTTGAACACTTTTCATTCAGGCTGTCATTACAACAGAGGGCCTCATTTTGTCCCAGATTAGGGCTGATGTGAGAACAACTGCTGTCAGGGCTTTAAAACCCATGAATGAATGATCAAAGCTGTGTGGACAAGACCTGGTTTAGATCTTTGATCATTGTTATCGAATCAGTCCAACACACCGGTGGGATCAAACACTGTACGTGCACAGAAGAATTACACTCTTCTGCTTAATACGTCTACATTAAAGCAAAAAGAACAACAATCCGCTGATCAACACGAACACGTACTGCTGTTAATGCTGTGAATGTGTAAAGTGAATATGTGTAAGGATGAAGTGCAATCAGTAACTGAACTCCCACAAGACAATGTTATCATGTCGTCATTGTAGCACTTTATTTTATCTCCACCATTTAGAACTCATAAGCAGAATGTAACTCACAATAATGTATTTATGACATCTGAGCAAACTCCATCTGCTGATGAAGGCCACCAGATGCAGCTGAAAGCTCCAGGGGAAATCTAGTAAGTGTTGCTTTTTTGCCAAAACTGAACATTCAAGATCATTGTGTTTTCATGAGCTCTGAACCCATTTATAAACAGTTTCAAACTTGCCTGTGGATGACTGTACACATGTGTTCACAGTTAATATGTTTTCATAATGCAATAGGATTTGTGTGAAATCATCATTCAGTAAATCTTTCCAATGTTTTTACTGGAAGCATTTGTGCAAAAGATGTTGACATGAATACAGATCAGGGAACTGCTTTAATTTTTACACTAATTCACAAACAACATAAAATAAAAAAGAGAAGGACGACAAAGAGAAAGGAAGAAGAAAAGGGAAAAAGTGGGGCATACCTGATCTACTAACCGTTCACCTGCCCGCTCAGCACTACTGCTAATTCTTGAGCTCGTGTTCAATTTGTTTGTTGTTCAAGAAAAGAAATAACTGGTGACCATATTTTAAAAAATTGATTCAAATTTATCATTCAAGATAAAACCTAATTCTCTCTATATGTAATGTTTCAGTTTATTCTTCTTCAGGTTTTTTTTCCAGAAGGTTTTTTTTTAGCTGCTCTTTGCCCATAGGAGATGAAGTGTTGCTGAGAAGCAGTCAGTTTCGTGACAGCCTCTGATGTTCCCAGTGTAATCTCCTTAGGATCTGGCTCCAGTGGGATTTTCTGTATATTGGAGAAGTGGCTGAAAAGGCTTTTAATTTTGTGGCAAAATATAAAACTGTGGTTTGGAGCGGAACTGACCATAAATCAGGAGTGTCCATATACCTTATTATATTATAGTGTCTTATAGGCAGTTAATTAATTTTTAATATATAAATGCTAAATAGGGGTTGAGGTAAAGTATTAAATTTAAAATGTGCTGTTTTTAGGAGAGTCCCTGGTCAAAAACAGTAGTGTGAAATCCTTTTCAGCAATGATACATCAGGGTTAAAAGGTAAATCAGAGCCTCCTGCAGTTGTTGAAAATTCCATTCAGCAGCTTTCAAGTCGCGAAAAACGAGTTTCAGTCCTGCTCTTTGATTCTCTTCCTCCATTC